CTGGCCTCTAATCCTCAAATCCACCATCACGCAATTATTCCTGAAAAATATTCAGGTGAAAGGTTTCTTTTCACAAGAACAGGGGTACTAGGCTAAAATTACAGGCAAAACACTCTGAGATAGTTAGAATCACTAAATTTTCACTACTATCTTATTTTTAGTCACAATAATTGTAACATAAACACCGTTATGTTGCAGTCTTTTAATGGTTATATAAAAGATCTCAAAAAAGAATCTTTCGGGGAATTTATCAATACCACAATATTCTCATATATCAGTGTTAGAATGTTGGCTTACCTTTTTCACTGAAAAAGCAACACTGGGAATGAATTCCCTCTTTCTTCTCTTATATTTTAGATTTTAAAAATCCAGTCATTTCATCCTTGGGCCTACATATTTTATAAAAATTTATCAAACATTACAAAATATGATTGTACTTAGGAACATTCTTTATACTATGAGGATCAACATTTACCAACATTAGATAACACGCCTTCTTGATAACAATAACTCTTCAGATGAGAAAATGTTCCAATATTTATACACAATTCTGTTCCCATTTGTAATAAATATTAAAATGTGCAAACGATTTATGACACTCCTGGTGTCTTCCAAAGTAAGTCCCAAACAAAGATCTCCTCCAGCTATTCCAGCATGAGGAGGGAATGAGAAGATGTTTCACAAATAACTGCATTACTCATTTATGTGGTAGTGTGCCAGGGCCAGTGTTTTGACAAAGCTAGAAAAATAGTGATTTTCCCTGTGATCCCCTCTTCATAATTATTAGAATGGGAAGGTTTAGAAAATAAACCAGGTCTGCATTGTTAAAAAGGGCATTAAAAACAGAGTACTTGTTTGATAATTTTCGTTTCACATTTTGTGTTTTTCTAGTAAGCCTTTATCCTGTCTCCCTGACATATAGGCCAAGTAGCAGCCAAATGATCTAAGCAATTCTTGTTTCATTCATTTGACTTGTTTTCAGTCAATAGTTAGAATTTTCTATTATTGATGAGAAATAGTATCAGTTTATAGGCCCAAGAGATTAAGATTATTGCATTATACCAGTTCTAAGAAAGACCTATTTTTCTGGAACCTACCTAATGAAGAAAGTTTGCAAATCGCCTGGTAGATGAATAGGTGCAATTCTTCCAATGCTGCTATCAAGTTATCTCCGTCTAACTTCTTCAGTAGAAAACAAAGAACAAGAGAAATCAAGAGAGAGAAGAGAGAGGAATTGAATTAGATGGAATAGGAAAAAAATAAAACTGTTGATTTACTATTGAATCAGTTTCTTTATTTATAAAATCTATAGTTTAAATATAATATTAAATATAAAATATATTTTAAAATGTAATATTAAATAATTTTAATATTTTAAATATAATATTAGTTTTAATATTTAGATATTATATTAAAATATAATGTTAAATAATTTTACATGGAATGAAAGTCCAATTTTCCATTACAAAAAAAAGTATCCCTGAATTTCAAAAAATTGTGTAAAGTAAATATAAAAAATGTGGAATTAAGCTCTCATAGGCTAGGTCCGTATACATTTATAGCTTTGGGTAAATACATAGAGGGAAATAACATTATAAATACGAAGGCTGTCTGGAAAGTATCCAGTCATGTAATGTGAAAAATAGTATTAACAATGGCTGGATAGTTTCTGGATGACCCCCATGTAGAAAGGTCCCGGATTAGGATAAAAGAGTGAGTTAAACTCAAAAGATAATGGGCCCTTTAAAACATTTTTGAGCAATCACATGGCTTTATGAAAATTATGCTCAAGGACGTTTATCCTTAGGGTGGACTGTAGAATAAATTTAATTGAGGGGGCAAGTCTTAAAATATCATGTTATTTTGTAATATAATTTTTTTCTTAGCTATTTTATTTTTCCTTTTATTAAGTCCTATACACATAGATCATGAATACATTTATGCGTATGTGGGGTACAATGTGTTGATTTTTTAATACAATTGGGAGTGCTTACATCAAACTAATTAATATAGCTTTCGCCTCATTTACTTGATTATTGTGTGAAGACATTTATGTTCCATACTTGATAGATTTAACTTGTACCTGTCAGTTAGCAAGTTTTCCATTTTATGGGTGAATTGTCCTGTGTAGATAGTGTGTAGAATATTTAACTGACTGTTTTAGAAAGGCACTTTATCCTGTAGATACATTTTATGAGTTACTACTTGATTTTATTTAGGTTTCTTGTACATTGTCCTCCACCCCGTTTATCCCTGATAACTCAGTTTCCTCCCGACCACTTTCCTTCACATTGCTGCCTGTGTTGTTATTTGTTGATACTCTAGTTACTAATCACTAGACTACCGAAAATACATTTATTACGTTTTCCTTTATAATTAAAAGAGCTGAAAAACTACAAAGCATCATGGCTGTTTTTAGTTCCCCTAAATGGTAAATTTGGTTTACAACTATAATCATGGCCATTCATACAGCCAAAGAAAAATACAACACAAAGTAATTCTGTTAAATGTGTTGAGCATTATCAAGAAACTAATATTAACTAAAAAAAACCCACTAGGTATACATTTTATATAAAAAAGATTTTGGAATCGCCTTTAATTGTTTATGTGAGCCATTATTGCCTTGCAATGAAAATGATGAGACATTAATTTATACCATTAGACCACATATAAGGTTTTTCATATCTTCTTATTTTATGAAGATTAGGAATCTAAAATATTTAACAATTTTAGGAATAAATCTTCTGAACATTTATACATGTACCATATGTTTTGCATATGTGGTAACTTCCTACTTATTTCATCATTTTTAAGCCTCCCAGAAAATACTAACAATTGTTTTGTTTGTTAGTATTCAACGGTTACCCTCCTTCGACAAGCATTAGTATGAGTTTAAACAAAATGAGTTAAAGGGAGTGTGGCCTCACTATGTGGTTGGAAAAGCTGCTGTGGGAGGAGAGAGATGAGTAGACTAAGCCTGGCGTCCCACCACCCACACATTGTGGGGCCTTAGTACTTACCTGTAGATTAAGACGGTGCTAACTGAGAAAGTACAATAGAACCTCTCTAAGTTGACCTGGGACTATAACAAACTGGTCAACATAGGAGGTGGTCAACATTAGGAACGAGGCCTCTAGTACTGATACGTACATGTGGGGTATGTCCAGTCTATGAAAATTAGACCATCTTAAGGAGGTGCTCAATGTAGGGGGCTGGTCAAGTATGGAGGGTCTACTGGGTTTAGAGAGCAAGTTAGAAAGAAATAAGTTACTATCGAAGTAAAAAGTGAATATAACTTTTAGCACTTTTCTAAAATAAACTTTTCATAAAAGATCGTCACATGAATTCATGTGTGCATGTGTTTAAAGATGATCTGATTTTTTTAAATAAATGGATAGTACTAATGCTGTCCTTTTTTTTCCCTTCTAGGGGCAACTGGATTGGAGAGGCACCATATAAAGTAGGAGTACCATGTTCCTCTTGTCCTCCAAGTTACGGCGGATCTTGTACCGACAACCTATGTTTTCCAGGTGTAACGTCCAACTACCTATACTGGTTTAAATAAGCTTAGCTTTTCCTCCAGGAAATACAACTATTTCTTGGAATCATAGACATGTATATATATTGGATTTTGCACATATTATACATATTTTATGATAATCTTGTTTTCTTTTTAGTATTAATTTGTATAAATTAGTGTTTGTCTAGTATGTTTTTTAATCCTTTGAGATAAGCAAAACATTCATTTCTATTTTCTTATGTCTAACTCTTAAATTAAAATATTGTATATGCAGTGATAACATAGTTGATGCATCCAATTCCAAAACCTGTATTCCAGAGAAATTATATTATTGTGTTCATGAGGAATAAAATATGTATTTGACTTGTAATGTGTATGTGTATATACACACACATACATATATGTGTACATGTATATGTGTGTATATATACATACACAAACATGTAATATGTGAAGTAATGCATAGATAATCATATGATTTAATTGTCAACTTGAGAAAAATTTAAAAAAATCTAAAGTACACGTGAGGGGACCAGACGTCTTTAGCACCCATTTCTAAAAAACATATAAAATGATAGTTTGCAAAATAACATTCAGTGACATCTGGAAATAATAATTTAATTAAGCAGCCATGGATTTCATTCTGGAGATATTTTATTTGGGTCTACCAAAGGATACACTCAGCTTACGTAACCTTTCAAATCATACCTTTTCCTTAGTCTCATTTTATTCAATAAGTCACATCTTGAGTGCTTACTACATGCAAGGCGCTCTGCTAATTATATTCTGATAATGCAGAGATAATTAGATATGGTTCCTGCCCTCAAGAAGCTTACAAAAATATTTCAGGAAAATGCAGCCTAGTGATCTTGCTACAAAATTATTCG